CAAGGTTGGGAGCCTCTGAGGCCGAACCGGGACGGTCAGGGCGTCCTCTATAGGGCTGCCGCACAGCGTGGGGATGCAGACCAAGCTGGATGGAGGAAAACGTGGAAAAACGATGGGGAAACAAAGAGCAAGGCCTTGGAAAACGATGGGAAGACTGCATGGAGAAAAACTTGGAAAAACTGTGGGAGAACCAAGTGTTTGAGCTTTGGGGGGCTCTCCTCGAGGCCCCTGGGAGGCTCGTGGGAAGACCTGCAGGGCACCAGGCGGGAGCAACCCCTGGAACCTCATGGGGCTCTGTTGGCTCCGGGTCGTCGAAGCCCAATAAAAAAAGGAAAGTAAGGCCCCGGGCCCCCCATGCGCCGCCGAGGTCCCTGGGCGGGACCCCCCGGCTACGCCCCCCGGGGTAGATCTGTATATATATATATATAGATATGAACTTAAACATACCTACATACATACATCCAAACATACCCATACACATACACATACACACACACATGCACATGCACATGCACATACACATACACATACACATACACATACACATACGCATGCACATTCACATACACATACACATACACGTAAACATACACATACACATACACATACACATACACATACACATACACATACACATACACATACACATACACGTACACATACACATACACATACACATACATGCATACATGCATACCTGCATACATGCATACATACATACATACGTACGTACGTACATACATACATACATGTATACACATATACATACATACATACATACATGCATGCATGCACACATACATACATGCATGCATGCATACATACATACATACATACATGCATACACAAACATACATGGCTTTCGTACCATCCCTAGTGGACTTGGTAATATGGCCCCTTCCCTGCGGTGGTCTTCAGAAGTCTTCGAAAGTTCGGGCGGCCCCTGGCCCTTCCCAAGCCTCTGGGGGCTCCCGCAAGGCGCCGGGTGGAGGGCGTAGGATAGGAGGGAGGGAATCTCGGAGAGCGAGGAAAGGAAGCGGATGTGGGGGAGGACAAGTGGTGGAGCAGCAGAATGAGGAGGAGGGCGTCGTCGGGGGACGGCGAAGAATGGTGCAGCGGGTTGCAGCGTGTCGCAACGGGACACGGGAACGCAAGTAATTTTTATAGGGAATGCACCCAATCCCGGGTTCGCAACAGATTTCCGGGATCTGTGGTTGCGAGCCCAGGATTCGGGTCAGTATGGTTGAAAACGCAATGTGGGGCGGGCCTTGTCGGAGCCCTTGTGGGCCGGCCGGCTTGGGGCTGTCTCGAGCCGTCTTGGGGATTTCCTGGGCGTGTTGGGGAGCTTTGGCCCTCTAGGGACCTTACGGGGACTACGTAGGCCCTCCTGATGGCCTCCCACAGCCTTTTTGCGGCGGCGACGACGGCGGCGACGACGACAGCGGCACAAGTGGACGACGACGACGACGACGACGACGACGACGACGGTGGACGACCTGTCGCCGCCACGGCACGAGCCATCGGCGGCCGCCCGGGCGGCCCCCCCCCCTCCCCCCGCGCATGCGCACGGGCGGCCCGAGGAGCTCTGTAAGCGCGCGCGCGCGGCGGTGCCTCGTGGCCGGGGGGCCCCCTGGAGCGCTCGACCGGGGCTGGCCGTCGCTCGGACGTCCATTCCCTGTGCTTTTTTCGGTTTCGCGCGTGGTTTTTTCGCCAAATGATCAAGAATGCTCCTCGATGGTCCTCGCCGAAAGAAAAATGCACACGTCCGAGCGATGCCGAGGGGGGCCTGGAGCCTGTTTTTTTTTAGCTTCTGGCAAGTTTACTTGCATGGACGGGGGGGGGGGGAGCTGAGCCTGAAGCAAGCCCAGGGGGGGGGGGGGGGCGCGGAAATCACGCAAGTCGAAAGGCACTTGCACGCTAGGATTCGCTTGAAGGGGGGCGAGGGGGGGTGGGGGGGGGCCAACGCCATGCAAGTAAACTTGCCTGAATCCCCCCAAAAAAACAGGCTCCTGGGCCGTCGCTCCCCCAGAGGTCCGGGCGTGCTGCTGCCGCTCGCCCGGGCTCTGCCAGTTCGCCCAGGTGCTCCAGGCGCTCTGCGAGCTCTGCCGCTCTTCGCCACGCCAGGCGCGGTGCTCGCCCAGGTTCCCGAGCCACGGGGCCCTCACGGATCGAGGCGGCGCGACGGGTGCCGCAGGAAGGCACGAGCCGGGGCCCTGGCTGCGCCTTGGCTGGAGGAGCTGTGAGGGCGCGCCGCGGTCCTGCTCGTGGCGGGGGTGGGGCCCTGGAGCTCTCGACCTATGGGGCCCGCCCAGTGTGTCGCTCGTCGGTGGGTCCTGCGAGCCAGACGAGCCTGCCTCCCTGTTGACCACCTCCGCTCCCGAGCGGGAGCCAAGCGGTACGAAACGACCCGTGGGTTGGCCTGCAGCGGTCGGGCTGCTTGACGAGGAAGCACGTGGTACAGTCGGGGCGTTGACCTAAGGAACCCTACATAAGGAACGAGGCCCCTTTTTCCAGAAGTTCAACTTCGATTTCCGATCGAAGACATAAGGAAAACCTGAGGCAAGCCCCTCCCCAACCAAAAGGGTTCCTTCGCCAGGGCCCCGACTGTATGACTGGGTCTTGCCTGGAAGCGAATCGGCAATCCACGCCTCCGAAGTCCTGGGCGGAACGGCTCGCTGTCCGGGGGGCCCTCGTCCCTGGAGGCTCCATCCCTCAGGGCCCCTTTTCTCTGGAGGGACCAACAAACGGCATGAGCCATGAACTTTGGGCGCCCCGCGCGGACCGTCGAACGTCCATGATTGGGTCGGGCACGTCCCCCGACAGGCCGATCCTCGAGGAACAATTAGAAATGGTCCAAACAATCTTCAAAACTGATCGAAACCAATCTTTAAACAATAGTCCCCAGACTGTTGTTTGACCATTTCTGGATCTTCCTCCTGCAGAAGGGCAGACCCGACTTAAGCCTATGGCTATGCGGTCGTTCTTGCTTCGAGGAGCGCCCCTGCTTCGAGCCGCTGAGCTCGGCGGCGCGCCAACAGCTCGCAGGGGCCCCGTGCGCTTCTCGCTGCCTGGGCCCGCCTCGCTCTGGACGGAAAACAACACACAGACACACTTAATCGTCGATTCCCCAGAAAATGTGGGAAAATATGGGGGTTGGGGGTGAAGACAAAACCCGAGAAAATATTAGAAAATATAGGGAATCCTTTCATTTGTGTGTACTGATTTGTATGTCCCAGGGCCCCTTCACTCGCGGCGGCGAGGCGCCTCCCTTCCCGGCGTGCGCCGCCGCAGGCCCCCCGGCGGCCCCCGGCCCGCTCCGGGGGCGCGCGAGCGTCGGGGCCCCTCTTGGCAGAAGAGACGACTGCGAGGCGGGGAGTTATCCACTTTTTTGACCTGCGGGGCGAGAGCGAACCTCTTCCGCTAAAAGCTAGGCGGGCTACGCACAGCTTTAATGGAGACAGGGCACAGGAAGGCACAGGAAGGGCACAGGAAGGCAAGGGGAGAGGAAGGCAAGGGGATTTATCCACATCCACCGCCTGGGAACCGACGTCCTGGTGCCCCAGCGGGCGGTGGATGTGGATCTGTTTTGGCCTCCGGGGGGCCGCATGTGTCCGTATATCCGCCGCCTGCCGAGGCTCCGAGAACGGACCCTCCAGGCGGTGGTCATGTATACATTCCCGCCTCGGAAAAACGCCATAAACGTAAACTTTTGACGCTCCGCCCGGACTTCTTGGATCTGCGCTGGACCCTCCTCCCCCTGGCGCGCGGAGCGCGCCAGTGAAGGGTCCCTGGGGCACACAAATAAATACACACAAATAAAAGGATTCCCAATATTTTCCAATATTTTCTGGGGTTTTGTCTTCCCCCCCAACCCCGATATTTTCCTATATTTTCTGGGGAATCGACGATTAATTGTGTCTGTGTGTGTGTGTCTGTATGCTTTTCCCTCCTGAGCCAGGGGCGGCGCCGGAGGCGCCGCGGGGGGCGGGCCCAGCGCGGATCCAAGGAATCCGCGCGGAGCGCCCAAAGGTTCTGCTCGTGGCGTTGTTTCTTCGTCGATCTCTGCTCGCGCAGCCACGCCTTAAGTCGGGCCTGTCCCCCTACAGGGGGATTCTCGACGAAAAATGGAAAATACCCCAAAAACAATACAAAAATAGTCAAAAAATACTCTGGGGACTACTTTTTGAATATGTCTTGGCCTTTGGGGGGCTTTTTTGGGGTATTGTGAATTTTTCGTCGAAGATCCCCCTGTAGGGGGACACGCCCGACATAAGCCAAGCCCTCGAAAGCCAGCAGGAGAACGGTCAGGGACTGCTGCCTGGCGTGTCGCGGCGACGGCCCCGGCGGCACGCGCTGCCCCCTGCGCGCGGGTGGCGTGCCCGCTCCGCCTCGATCACTCGCCTGCGCATGGGGGTCGGTCTTCTGGGGGTCAGAGTCAGCGACGGGCAGACTAAGGACAAAGAGGCCGCAGGACTTATCCAGGGAAAGCCGAGGAATGCACACCCTTTCTGACACAAGTGCGTCCCCGAACAAAGACAATCCAAGAAGCTCAGCTTACGTCGCCCTTACCGCCAAGAGGCTGAACCCCATGAAACACGGGGGATCTGCCGGGCGGGGGGCTGGGGAAAAGCTCGGATGATTGATGCTGGGGGGCTGGGATATGGTTAGATTGTAGCGCCGCAGCGTGGTGGGCCAGAACCGGCGGCGCAACATGCTAAGCGAAAGCTCCCGACCATACTCTCGAAACCCATCGAAATTCAGTACACGCACACCCTTGTTTCACTACTGCAGATAGCCTCGCTCCTCCCCACACATCGGCTGCACGCAGAAGTGACCCTGGGCAAGGGTTAGGTCGGGCGTGTCCTCCTTCAGGCGGATTTTGGACGACAACAAGAAATGTCAAAACATGTACCAGAATAGCCAAACATATTTTTTTTTGAAAAACCATCCCCAGACCACTTTGTTTACAATGTTTGAATAATCCTCCCGTAGAGGGGCAGGCCCGACGTCAGGCAAGGATGACCGTTGGTGCGCCGCTTCGGGAGCCACGAGGGGGCAACCCCGAGCGCACAGTCCGCTGGGATCGCGTCGCGCTAGCGGTCAGTGGGGCCCCAACAATTTTTTTGGTCTGCGGGTTCAGAGCGAGCCTCTTCCAGTTAAGAGCTAGGCGGGCCGCGCAAAGCACTAGTTAATTCGGGAGACAAGTGGGGCCCCAACAGGCTTGCACCCAACAGTCCCTCCGGCGAGGGGTCATTCTTACGCCTTACGCGTATCCGACCGTGCCACTTCGCGCTGGTTCTCGCAAAGGAGGGGGTCGGACGTGTTTTCCCCAGCTCTTGGAGGTTTCCCGCCTCAAGGCTTATGTTGCTACATCCCAGAAATAATTTCGAGCCCCCGGAAAAGTGTCGAAACAGTGCCGAAACACGAACGAGTGTATCCCAGGGCCCGACACTAGGAAAACCGCGAGTTTCGTTACTTCCTTGGTGCTCGAGATTATTTACGGCAATCAAGAGCTAAAGTAGGCTGGAACATCATAACTTCGGCGGTGGACAAACCTCCCTTTAGTAAACCTCCCCTTAGTGGAAACGGCCTGTGACCGAAACCGACGGACCTGGACCCGCAGAAATGACGGCCGCGACGACCTCTCGCGAACCGAAAACGGCCAAGTCCTCAATCGACGTGTCAGGGTAGGAGGTCTGTCCACCCCCGATAACTTTCTTGGTGCTCGAGTTTCGTTACTTTCTTGGTGCTCGAGATTATGTATGGTAATCAAAAGCTAAAGTAGGCTGGGACATCATAACTCAAGGTCTGCTTTCCCGCCACTGCGACTCGCCGAGGGCGTTCCGCAGAGGGACGCCCGAATCGTCTCCAGCGGACGCAAAGAGGCCCGAGCCGTGGCCCGAAGGCAACACCCCCTCGCGCGGTGAGCAAAAATCGGGTCGGGCGAAAGGGGGGGATAGCAAAGGGGGGGTTGAGAATCAGCTCACGCAGCTGATTTGTCCGGCGCCTCCCGGCGCCGGGAGGCGCCCATGTATCGAGGAATGGGCCCGGCGGCGGAGCCGAAACCAGCTGCATGCAGCAAATTTCGTAACCGCCCCCTTTCCCAATACCCCCCTAACGTCCGGCCCGAAAAAGCAGTGGCCGAAGGTTGACGGCGAGATTCTGCCCCCCAGAGGGAGCCTGCACTGAATCCACGGACGATGCCCAGTCGAGTTGCCCCGATCGGGCACCTGGGGGAGGACACCGTTGGATCAAGGCTGGGAAACCGTCATACCCCGAAAGGGGAGGATGGAGGAGGAACAGGAGGACGAGGAGGAGGAAGAGGAGGCGGAGGAGGGAGAAGAGGGAGGAGGGAGGAGGGAGAAAGGAGGGAGGAAGAGGAGGAGGAGGAGGGCGGGCAGAAAGGCCAGATGCCTCTTGGATGCCTCTCGGAGTTTCTCCGGATGTCTGTTGAGAGCGTGTTGTAGGCCTCTTGTGGCCTCTTCGGGGCCTCGTGGCGGTCCTCGGGGCCTCTTGAAGCGTCTTGGGTGCTTCGGGGGAGCCTTCTGGGGCGTATTGGGGGTGTCTTGGCAGCCTCTCAAGGGCCTCTTGGAGGCATCTTGGGGGCATCTTGGGAGCCTCTTGGGGCCTCCTGTGCGCCGCTTGGGGCCGTCTCGGGGCACCCTTGGGAACCTCGGGGTTTATCTTGGGACCATACTGGAAGAGATCGATCAAAGGAGGGGTCGAGAAAAAAATTAGAGTCCCCACTAGGAGGCCAAAATGCGGCCAACAAATGTGTAAAATCAATCATGTGTACCTTCTCGACGAGGCATTTTTGGACGCTCGAACCTTTCGCCGCCCCCCCCCCCCCAGACCCAGGGGGAGGGTGTAGGGGAAGGAGAAAAAGCCCTCCCCGAAGGGGAAGAAGGGGCGTTGGAAGAGGAAACGCTCTGAACCACTCACGCCCAGAGGGCTGTTGGGATTAGCACCCCGCCCCCAGGAGGCCAAACTGTTGCCAGAACCTTGGTAGAATCAGTGGTTTTGGCCCTTTCGCCAATGCCTCTTGGGTCGCCTTGAGTGCCTCTGGGCAGACTCTTGGGGGTCTCTTGGGAGCCTCGTGGGGGCATCCTGGGGGCTTCTTCGGAGGTTCTTTCGCCCTCTTGGGGCCTCCTGGGCACCTGTTGGGGCCGTCTTCGGGCACCCTGTGGAGCCTCCGGCGCCATATTGGGGCCATCTTGGAGGAGATCGATCAAAAGAGGGACCGGAGTGAATTAACGCCCTCCCCCCGAGGAGGCCCAAATGTGGCCAAAACCTGATGCAAAATCAATGATTTGGGCTTCCCTGTCGGGGCCACAAGAGACACTCTGACACCTCGCGACCCCCCCACCGTCCAGGTCCAGGGGGAGAGGGTAGGGGGAGGGATCAAGACACCCTTCCCGCCCGCAAGCTGTCTCGCTCACTCCCACCCGCCCTCCCAGCACATCAGTAGCGCCCGAGCCTCAGCGTCAGCGGCCGCGGAGGAGGAAAAACAGGGAGGAGGACTTGGGCGTACAGTCATACCTATGCCAGAATCACATCCTTCAAGAACATGAGACCCTCCGCCGGCCAAAACACACGGAACACATCCAAGGGTGCCCGCCCTAGGGTACACAAGAACATCCAGCAAGCACGAAGAACATGAGGGTACCCTCCCCCAACCGCCCTCGATCTTCTGCCTCGGTCCGACTGCAGCACCCGAGCCTCGGCGGCATGAGCGGCCGCGGAGGAGGAAAAGCAGGGAAGAGGCCCTGGGCGTAGACCGGAAGGGCCGCAGTCCATCCTCTGCTTCGGCATGCAGTCTGGCCGATCTACTTTTAGGTCGGGCATGTCCCCCTACAGGTGGATTTTGGAGGAACATCTAAAACCACTCAAAACATATTCAAACAAAAGCTCAAAATAGTTGAAAGATCTTCCCCATACCATTTGTTTGCCAATGTTTTGATATTCCTCCTGTAGAAGGGCACGCCCGACTTAAATCTACTAGGGGGGCACATGCGAACCCTCCCCCTCAGAAATCGTGGGGGGTAAGGTAGGGTTCGCATGTGGCCCCCTATCTACTCAGCCCGTGGCGTCTCAGCGGAGCGCGGCTCGCCTCTCCTGCAGCAAGGCCGGCGCCATGCACCGCAGCCAGGCGCCCCCGACGATGCCCCAGGCGGGCGACGCAGGCCGTGGGGGCGAGCTCTCCAGGAAGTGTGCAGGACAGAGGCTGCGACCCGGCCGAGGGCGAGGATCCCGAGGTGTTTTCAGCCCCCCTTCCACACCAGGAGGAGGAGGTGGAGGAGGAGGAGGAGGAGGAGGAGGAGGAGGAGGAGAGGAAGGAGGAGGAGGAGAAGGAGGAGGAGGAGGAGGAGGAGGAGGAGGGGAAGGAGGAGGAGGAGGAGAAGGAGGAGGAGGAGGACGACGAGGGGGAGAAGGAGGAAAGGAGGGGTTGCTCCATGCCGTGGGACGCGGGAGGGCACGCTGGCACTGTGCGTCCTCCCTGGAGGCCCCCGCCCTCCCGAACAGATGGCACGAACATGTCTTTGACAGCTCAAGACGTGCCTCAACCGCCACCGCCGCAGCGCGAGTGCCGGCCACTGCGAAAGCTGGTCGAAGGCACGCGCACACGAGACAGAGGCTGCAGGGCTCCAGCGGAGCGGCTGCGCTCGCAGGCCGCTCTCTTCCTCACCTTCGCGCGCGGAGGAGGACAGGAACCCGGACGGCGAACGGCACGGAAGCCCTTTGTGTGCCTTTCCCGAGCGGTGTATGGCCAGAAAGCGCCCGCCACGGAGCTTACACTGTAAGACTCCTCGGCGCGCGCGTCGCCCCTGGGAGGGGCGATGCATACCAGCACTATGCCGCTCCCATCGCACTTGAGGACCACATCGCAGAAATCATTTCGAGCACCCGGAAAAGTGTCGAAAGAGTGTCGAAACAGTGTCGAGACGGTGTCGGACGAGTGTCTCCCAGGGCCCGACACGTGCAAACCCTCGCGCTTCGGTACTTTTTGGGTGCTCGAAGTATTCTTCCTGGCGGTCAGGGCTACAGCAGGTTGGGACATCATAAACCCAGCATCAACACGTCGGGGTGACACCGATGCCTCCCGCCGTCCCCAGACGTCTGAGGCCACGCCCTCCCTCGAGTCGCCGGGGGCCACCGTGCCCGGCCGGGGCCCTCCTGGGCCCTCGCACGGCGTGTGCTCGCCCTGCTGGCCGAGGCCGACGAAGAGCGGTAGGTTTGAACGGCGTCGACGCGCGCAAAGGTCTCTGGCACCGCACCTCGAATCGATCGCGGCTCCGGCTCCGATCGTTCAAAGTTGAATTCTGTCGGGTCCAACGGCGTTAAAGTGTCCCTCGGTGCTTTCGCGTCGTTCTATCATGAGGCGTTCAACCTTGAACGCCTTCGCCGGCGTCGCCGGCGCGCCATCGCCGCACGAACCTACCGTAGGGCACAGGAAGGCCAGGCATGGTTGTGCACATGTACTGCTTGCGTTCGGTTGCTCCCATCGTACTCGAGGGCCCCAGCCCAGAGATAGTTACGAGCACCCCGACAAGTATCGAAACAGTGTGGAACGAGTATCGCCTCCCAGAGCCCGACAGGTAAAAAACCTAGTTTCAGTACTTTCTTGGTGCTCGACCTTCTTCCTGGCGGTCAAGGATAAAGTAGGTTGGAACATCATAATGCTTGCGGGGAAAGCGAAACAAAAAGCACCTGTGCGAGGCAAGACCAAGCCCCGAACTTAGGGATACCGAATACGGCACTGTCGAACTCGCTCGTTCACTCAGTCGCGGCTTCATCTGCGGCATGCCGCTATTTCTGAACGCTATTTTCCCCTCATTCCCTATTTCTTCCTTCCCTCCCCGCATCTACATTCCAATGCCCTTCATTATTTCTGACCGCGCCATGGCCGACCACGTGCTTCATGCCGTGAGCCAGCTCGTACACTAGCGGAGACTCAAAGCTCGAAGAGTCCGATTGCTCTGCAGAGGCAGCCTAGCTTTGCAGGATGTCTGCGAATGCGAAACCATCTTGCAGACGAGAAATTCAGGAAAGACCGATGGTAAGGCTCCGGGGTGTGCACAGACAGCCCGCCAGGTAGTCCCGGCTGACCTCCACAGGCACCCCGAGTTAGTCCCAGCTGGCCTCGACACATCCTCTCCGAGCAGTCTGGGGCGGTCTCAACACCTCAGCACTGGGGCGCGGAGCTCCCCAAGGGCGCCGCCGCAGGCGGCGCCAGGGTTCTGAGACCGCCCCGGGCCTCTCGGAGGGGGGCTGTCGGGGCCAGCCGGGGCTCCTCGGGGGGCCTGCCAAGGCCAGCCCGGGCTGCCTGGGGGGGCCGCCCGTGCGCAATGCGAAGCCTTCGGGTGGGAGATCGACTACAGCATGGATTTACCCCAAGATCTCCCCCTCGAATGCACGAACAAAAATACCGTGCTCGACATCTGTTCGTGGATGCGACGAACAAGCCAATGTTGCGGTAAAAGAATTCTGCAGTCGATTCCCCCACTCGAAGCCTCGCCAGAGTCCGATCCATCCCTTGCAGACGGAGGCCCTCGTTCGGGGCCGTCCGCCCGCCAGCGGCCCAGCGGCGCCCCAGGGCGGCCTCACGCGCGCGCGGCCGCGGACACCGGGCGAGCGCCCGGCCCCGCGGGGGGCAGCGCCGGGCCCTCGGCGGCGGAGGGGGGGGGGTCGTCGGCGGCGGGCGGCGGCGGGCGGGCGGCTGCGGCGAGGGCGGCGGCGACGGCAGCGGGCGGCGGCGGCGAGGACGGCAGCAGCAGCGGCGGCGGCGGGCGGAAACAGCGAAGAGGGCGGCGGCAGCGGCGAGGAGGGGGGCAGCGGGCGGCGGGCGGTGGCGGCGGGCGCCGGGGGCGGTGAGGGCGGCGGCGGCGGGGGCAGCAGGAGCCGCGAGGAGGGGGAAGGGGGGGACTCCAGGGGAAGGGAGGGGGGAGGAGCGTGGAGGGCGGAGGGGAGGAGGAGGAGAACGGCGAGGAGGGCCAGGAGGACGAAGGGGCCGCTGGGGGGGCGTCGGACGGCGGCCTCGACGTATCGGGAAGGGCACGAGGATGAGGAAGAGGATGAGGGCAAGGATGAGGAGGAGGAGGAGGAGGACGACGACGACGACGACGAGGATGAGCAGGAGGACAAAGAGGGAAAAGGAGTCAGACGCCCCTCCGAGTGACTCCCGGCGAACCCAGCCGTGGCCAGGAAGGTGCCCTTCGCAGGGCCAGCGAGGTCCGACAACGACCAAAACCTCAACGAACCTGCACGACGATGACGAAGACGACGACGACGACGACGACGACGACGACGACGCGACGACGACGACGACGACGACGACGACGACGACGACGACGACGACGATTACGACCACGACCACGACCACGATCACCACGACTACGACGATGACGACGACAACCGCGACCACGACCGCGACGACCACGGCCACAACCGCGACGACGCCCCCTCGACTGCGACCTCGACCGCGCCGGCGACCGCGGCAGCGGCGGCGGCGGCGACAGCGTTGAAGGAGGCGGCGGCGGCGTCGAAGGTGTCGGCGGCGGCAAAAGGCGGCGGCGGCTGAGCAGGCCGGCGGGTGTCCTGCAGCGCCGCGGCGGCGCCCGCGGCTGCGCCGCCGCCTGTGGCGCGCTCTGCTCCCGGGAGCCCGAAGTGGCCTGGTGGGCCTGTTTTCCACCACCACCACCACCACCACCAGAAGTTGGAGGGGGGAAGGAGGTGGAGGACGAGGAGGAGGACGAAGAGCAGGAGGAGAAGCAGGAGGAGGAGCAGGAGGAGGAGGTGGAGGAGGAGGAGGAGGACCCCCTCCCTCCCCCTCCAACGTATTGTGGTGGTGGAAAACAAGCCTATCGTGGCCGACTCTGGAGAAGCCGTGTCCAAAAACGCGGGTTGATTCACTCTACGGTCGGGAACTTTTGCTCCGCGTGTCACGGCGGCGGCCCTCGGGGACACTGTCTGCGCCCTGCAGGCGGATGGGTCGTCGCTCCGCTCTGGCGGGAAGCTGGGAAAAGCTCGGGACATTGACGCTTGGGGACTGGGGCGTGGTTTGCATGTCGGGCCGAAACGAGGTGGGCCGGCCCCCGACAGCGAAACCGCGCGTTCCTGGGCGGGGTGGGCCATCGGGCCGCTATCGGCGATGAATGGGCGATGGGCGGTGGATGCTTCCCCCCCTGGGCCTATCCTCCCCAACGGGAAGGCGTCGGAACTGGGAAGCACAGCTCAACAGATGTCCTGAGACCCCCGACGGCATGATGTTGTTCCAGACTATTCTGTACGGGTAGCTCCACCGAAGGCCGCAGCGGCAAGGTCCACCTGCGTCACCCCGCCCATTTCGGCACACACCTCACGAGGATAGTGGCCTCATATGGAGCTCCACCGAAGGCCACAGTGGCAGGGTCCGCATGCGTCCTCCCCCCATGTGCACACCCCTCAAAAGTATCGTGGCCCCATAGGAAGCTCCACCGAAGGCCCCAATGGCTGGGTCAACATGCCTCCACCCGCCCATTTCGGCACACCCCTCACGAAGGCCGTGGCCCCATTGGGATTTCCACCGAAAGCGGTACCACAACGCGGTACTCACAACTGCATATGGTTGGCCGCTTCGCCTGGATAAGTAATTATCACGTGGGCCCCGTGAACTCTGGACCCTTCCCAGCGACCAGCCTTTCATCCTGAGTCGCCTTTTGACAGTCCCGAGGCCCAGTGAGGGCCCCCAAAGACCAGATCTGTTTTACAAAATTACCCCAGTGCGACCCTACCCAGAAGTTGGAGCCCCTAGGAAAGCAGCATTAGTTGCTATGCTATGATGTGCTATGCTATGCCATGCTATGCTGCGCGATGCTATGCTATGCTATGCTATGGTATGCTGCGCTATGCTATGCTATGTTATGATATGCTAAGCTATGATATGTCATGCTGCGCTGTGCTATGCTAAGCTATGATAAGCTATGAAATGCTATGATATGATATGATAAGATGCGCTGTGCTATGCTATGATATGAAATGATATGCTATACTGCGCTGTGCTATGCTATGATTTGCTATGATATGCTATGCTAAGATATGCTATGCTAACGCAGCGCTGCGCTATGTTAAGCTAAGCTAAGCTAAGCTAAGCTAAGCTAGGCTATGCTGCGCTTTGCTTTGCTTTTGCTGTTGATTTGCTTTGAATTGCGTTGCTTGTGCTTTGCGTTGCTGTCGCTGCTGTTGGTTTGCCTTTGCCTTGCTGCTATGCTATGCTATGCTATGCAATGCTATGCTATGCTGCGCGGTGCTATGCTGTGCTGTGCTGTGCTGCGCTATGCTATGCTATGCTATGCTATACTATGCTGCGCTATGCTGTGCTATGATGGGCTTTGCTATGATATGCTGTGCTGCGCTGTGCTGTGCTACGCTCTGCTATGCTATGCTGTGCTCTGCTATGCTAAAGCTCGGCGAAGCTAAGATGAAGGTCAGCTAAGCTAAGCTAAACCTGAGCTAAGATGAAGCTAAGCTAAGCTAAGATGAAATAAGCTAAGCTAAGATGAGATAAGCAACGCTAAGCTAAGGGAACGTCACTGGGGGAACCGCGGGGCGGATCCTGGGGGAACCGCCCGGGGCGGGGAGCACTGCCTGGCCCTTTAAGCATACAGGGTAAGAACCCTTCTAGGCAGAGCCTAGGTAGGGAAAAAACAAAACAAACAAAAAACGTCATGATTTTTGTCATGATCGGCGGCGGCGAGAGGGGCGACTAGGCCAGGGGCAGGCATTATACGTATTCGCCCGGGAGCCTTTTCGAAGACGTAGATCATCGGCGCACCTGGATACATGGATTGCTCTCCCCATGAGCTATTCGCCCCGATCGTCGCCTCTGACATGATCCGAAGGGGTCTGGGTCTGGGCCCCCTTGGCGCTCGCTCTTCACGGCGTGCGGTGCCCCTCCCCTGCAGGTCCCCTCCTCCGCGGTCTCCTTGCGTACCCCCCCGGTGAGCCCTCGCCTGGCCGGTGCCACAGCGCCCCGGAACGCTCCGAGAGCGTCCCACAGCGCTGCGGAACGCTGTATCCACATCCTAGTCCTAGCCTCGCCTGGCCATCACTCGTCTCTCGAAACAATCAGGGCGTTCTGTGTTCGTTTGCCAGTCGCGGAACGAGGACGAAACTCGACACCCAAAACAAATGATCCTGGCGAAAGGCCCAACCATATGCAATCGTGGGTACCGTGGCTGTGGGCACCGCCTTCCGTGGATCTCCTTATGGGGCCACGAGGCGTGTGAAGGTAACGGAAACATGGGGCGGGCGCTGCCTCTGGGCCTGAACTACTTCCTCCACTGTGGGGCCGCAAAACGTGTGAGCGGTGCGCCTACATGACGCGAAACTGCCATGCGAACGCTGCCACTGGCGCCTTCAGTGGAGCTCCCGGCCACGAAACGTGCAAGAGGTGTCGAAAGGGGTGGACAGGACGCATGAACCGTGCCAGCAGGACCTCAAGTGGAACTCCCAACGGGGCCACGAAACGTGTGAGGGTGCGGCGACATGAATGGCCGGGACGCGTGCGAACTGCGCGACTGGGACCTTAGGTGGAGCTCCCCATGGGGCCACGAATCGTGTGAGGGTGTGGCGAAATGACTGGCCGACACGTGTGCGAACTACGCCACAGGGACGTCAGGTGGAGCTCCCCGTGGGGCCACGAAGCGTGCGAGGGGTCTGCCCCGATGGGACCACGAAGCGTGCGAGGGGTTTGCCGAAATATGTACTTGGCGGGGACGCGTGCGAACTTTGCCACTAGGACCTTGCGAGCTCCCAATGGGGCCACGAAGCGTGTAAGGGTGTGCCGGCATGAGTGGCCAGGACGCGTGCGAAATGCGCGACTGGGACCTTGCGTGGAAATCCCGTGTGGGGCCACCAAACGTGTGGGGCGGGGTGCAGACATGGATGGCCGGGGCGCGTGCGAAATGCGCCACTGGCGCCGTTTGAGGAGCTCCATCTGGGGCCACGATGCTCGCGAAGGGT